CCTATACTGTGACAGCACACTCCTCCTTTTCATCCATGATTTCCCATGTCCATTCAACCAGCTGCTGACCATCTCTGCCTTCTCATCTCACCTCCGGACAGGAGCTGCCCATTTAGTCTCACGTATCTACTTGAGCTAAGAAGCACACTCTTTATGAGTATCAGTTTATGTCCCACAGTCCAGTCTAATCTTTGTCTGAAGAGTTGGCCTCGGGAATGGTTTTAGTTCTGGGTTGACAGAGAGTCTGGGGGCCATGATTTCTGGGGTTCCTCCAGTCTCAGTCTAGACCATTAAGTCTGGTCTTTTTACTAGAATTTTGAGTTCTGCACCCCACTTTTCTTCTGCTCCATCATGGGCTCTCTGTTGTGTTCCCTGTCAGGGCGATGATTAGTGGTAGCCAGGCACCATCTAGTTCTTCTGTCTCAGGCTGGTGCAGTCTCTGGTTTATGTGGCCCTCTGTCTCTTGGGCGAATACTTTCCTTGTGACCTTCGTGTTCTTCATTCTCCTTTACTCCAGGTGGTTGGGACCAATTGATGCATCTTAAATGGCCACTCACTAGCTTTTAAGACCCCAGACACCACTCACCAAAGTAGGATGCAGAACATTTTCTTAATAAATTTTGTTATGCCAGTTGACCTAGATGTACCCTGAAGCCATGTTCCCAAGACCCGTGCCCCTGGTACTCTGTCCATCAAAGTGTTTGGTTTTATTTAGGAAGCTTCTTAACTTTGGTTTAGTCCAGTTGTGCTGTCTTTCCCTGTAGTGTGTCCTGTCCTTCCCTTCACCTGAGGTAATTCTTGTCTATCATCTAGTTGACGAATGACCCTCTCCCTCCCTCCCCACCCTCGTAACCATTAAAGAATGTTTTCTTCTGTGTTTAAACTTTTTCTTGAGTTTTTATAATAGTGGTCGATATTTGTCTTTCCGTGACTGACTAAATTCACTCAGCATAATGCCTTCCAGATTCCTCCTTGTTATGTTTCACGGATTCATCATTTTTCTTTATCGTTGCGTAGTATTCCATTTATTGTGTAGTATTCCATTGTGTAAATATACCATAATGTGTTTATACATTTGTCCCTTGATGGACTCCTAAGTTGTTTCCATCTTTTTGCTACTATGAACAGTGCTGCAGTGAACATGGGTGTGCATATATCTGTGTCACAGCTCTTGTTTCTCTAGGATGTATTCCAAGGAGCAGGATTGCTGGATCATATGGTACTTCTATTTCTAGCTTTTTACGGAAGCGCCAAATCTATTTCCAAAGTGGTTGTACCATTTTACATTCCCATCAACAGTGTCTAAGTGTTCCATTCTCTCCACAACCTCTCCAGTGTTTGTTATTTTGTGTTTTTTGGATTAATACTAGCCTTATTGGGGTGAGATGGTATTTCATTGTAGTTTTGATTTGCATTTCTCTAATGGCTAATGATTGTGAGCATTTCTTCATGTGTCTGTTAGCTGCCTGAGTGTCTTCATTGGGGAAGTGCATTTTCATATCCTTTGGCCATTTTTTGGTTGGGTTATTTGTCTTTTTGTTGTTGAAGTTTTGCAGTATCTTGTAGATTTTAGAGATTAGATGCTGATTGGATTTATCGTAGACAAAATGTTTTTCTCGGTCTGTAAGTTGTCTTTTGACTCTTTTGATGAGTGTAACTGATTTTTATGAGCTCCCAGTTATCTAGTTTCTCTTTTGGTGTTTGTGCGTTGTTACTCATGGTTCATATTCTGTTTATACCATGTATTAGAGCTCCTAGCGTTGTCTCTGTTTTTCTTCCATGATCTTTATCATTTTCGATTTTATATTTAGGTCTTTGATCCATTTTGAATTAGTTTTTGTACATGGTGTGAGGTATGGGTCTTCTTTCAGTTTTTTGCAGATGGATATCCAGTGATGCCAGCACCATTTGTTAAAGAGTCTGTCTTTTCCCCAATTAACAGAATTTGGGTCTCTGTCAAATATCAGCTGCTCATAGGTGGATGAATTTATGTCTGGATTCTCAATTCTGTTCCATTGGTCTGTGTATCTGATGTTGTACCAGTACCAGCCTGTTTTGACTACCGTGGCGGTATAATAGTTTTCTAAAATCAGGTAGTGTGAGACCTCTTCTTGTTCTTCTTGAGTAATGCTTTACTTATCCGAAGTCTCTTCCCTTTCCATATGAAGTTGGTGCTTTGTTTCTCCATCTCATTAAAAAATGCCCTTGGAATTTGGATCGGTATTGCATTGTATCTGTAGATCACTTTGGGTAGAATTAACATTTTCACAGTGTTGACTCTTCCTATCCAAGAGCAAGGTATGTTCTTCCACTTATGTAGATCTCTTTCGGTTTCTTGCAGTAGTGTCTTGTAGTTATCGTTGTATAGGTGTTTTACATTGTGCCTTAGATTTTCTTCATTCTCCTTTGCTCCAGACAGGGTGGGACCAGTGGAGTATCTTGGATGGCCACTCACAAGCTTTTTTTTTTCATAATTTTGTTTACTTTTTATTGTATAACTACTTGCATATGAATATGATATGAAGAATAGAATATAATTCACTTAAAGGATATCATAAGATGTAGGAACTGGAGCCCCTGGCTAGTGCAAAATGGTTAAACGTTTGACTAATACCTGAAAGTTTTGGTGGTTGGAACCCACCCAGAGGCACCCCAGAAGAGAGGCCCCGAGATCTGCCTCCAAAAGGCCACAGCCCTGAAAACTTCATGGAGCAGTTCCACTCCGACACGCATTGGGTCACCGCGAGTCAGAATCGACATGGTGATAACAACAAAGAACTGATACTGCAGGATCAGCAAGATTTGGAGCAGGCTTTAGGAGTCACTCACAAGCTTTTAAGTCCCCAGATGCTGCTCACCAAAGTAGGATGTAGAACATTTTCTTTTATACACTCTGTTATGCCAGTTTAGCTAGCTGTCCCGCAAGACCATGGTCCCCAGCCCTCAATGCACTAATTTGGCCAGATCTTCTGGTTTTTCAATAAAAGTTACAAATCATATTTTTATAATTAATGTCCCAATTTTGAAATATTGGGAACTAATTCAAAATGTCTAGGGGAGATCAACCCAAAACATTGTGTGAACCAAACAAAACATGTCTGGATAATTTATTCCTGGATATTTTGAGCATTCTGTAGTTTTCCAGAAATAGTTTGTGAAAAATCACTTTTCCCCTGTTGTGAGTTTTGGTTCTTTATGCTTTCACCACTGTGTGCTTCTGTTCTTCATTTGCATCCCCGGAAATTGTAGTTTTCTGAAAGCAAATGAAAAGAGGAAAGTACAAGTGGCCAGTGTGGTGGGTGTACAAATCGCCAGTATGGTTAAGGGGAGAGGGAAACAATTCAGGCTGTTTTGGCACTTCCTGTAGAATAGAGGTGAAGGTATCTAATTGGCAAATAGGTAGTAATTTCTTACCACCTTCCTAGCCCTTTCTTTCAGGCTGCTTTGTTTAATTTATAATGAGGCCTGACAGAATTTTAACTAGTATTCTAAGTTTCCAGAACTATTTTAAGGTTGTATATAGCCAAGGGTGATTTTATGGGTATTTGAGCAGAAGGACAGAAGAGAGCAAACAGGTAACACTAGCTTGCAGCCGTGTTAACGTGAAAGTTAGATGTATTATTTAAAATTTTGAAAATATATTTGTTAAAATTCATTTTTAGAATGTCAGTATTTCAGTTGTATTAATTTCTTGATTAATTTTAGAATGTTTAATGCACTGTCATCTTTCAGGTAAAAATCACCGAATATCACTTTTGAAAATGAACATATAATACAGTCGTCCCTCGGTATCCAAGGGGGATTGGTTCCAGGACCTTCACGGATACCAAAATCCAAGGAGACTCAAGTCTCTTACATAAAGTGCCATAGTATTTGCATAAGACCTGCGCACATCCTCCTGAATACTTTATAAATCTCTAGAGTTTGTGTGATACCTAATACAGTGTAATTGCTATGTAAATAGTTGTTTCATCACAGCTGAAGACTTGTTCTGGAAGGTAGCCTTTCTTTTCTACGAGTTTCTCAAGCTCCTGTGGGAACGCTGATGCAGTTCTCCCTTGATCTTGAAGTTCTGGAGGCTGTAGCGCTTCACATAGCTAGCCGGCCATCCCCTACTAGCCTGAAACTTCTTCCTCTCACTCTCCTTAACCCCCTTACACTTAGCCTTTGAGGGACGGCTTTCACCACTTCATTGCTTTTTAGGAGCCATGAAACAAAGGGTGCACACAACACAAGTAGCGAATGCACAAGAAGCGAACAATGCTCAAACAAAGAATGCTGGAGAGAGACTGAGGATCTGTGAAATGGCTGGAGGCTACAGCAGGGTATGCCCACACATCACTTAGTTCAAGTGGATTCAGCATAGTGCTGGGCATGTGGCAAATTCAAGTTTTGCTTTTTGGAACGTTTTTTTTTTCTGAATATGTTCGGTCTGCTGCAGTTGGTGGCATCCACGGATGTGGAACCCATGGATCTGGAGGGCTGACTAATGACTTCTAAAAATACCAAAAGTCTTTTTAAAATAAACTTACAACAATAATTTTAGATTTACAAAAGCATTGCAAAGATGATACGGTGAGTTCCCATATACCCCACAGCCAGTTTTCTTTATTATTCACATCTTGACGTTAGTATGGTATATTTGTCACAATTAATGAGCCAGTATTAATATTTTATTATTAAAGTTAATGTTTATTCAGATTTCCTTAGTTTTTTTTTAAGAAAAGTTTTATTAATGTGTTAATATTTCAGCAAAGTTTATTGCAACAAATTTAAAAGGCAGAGAGACACACTACTACAGGCTGTAAACTAATAAAGGGGTTTTATACAGTTAAAATAACTACCCAGACCTATGGGATTTATTGACTAACTAGCAAATCCATAAAAAATTAAATCTGAAAGATTAAATCTATATTAGTACCTACATTAGCCTGGGAAGTAAAACTTCTAACTGTTTCATTTTCTTATAGTATATTTCTTAACTTTTCTCCCAAATACAGTGCTTTCGAATCCCAAAGATGAACTAAAAACATAAGAAGCCTTGATACTGAAAATGTACAGCCAAAACAAAAACTAGAAAATTGAATTCGACTTGAGAATTTTACTTGGAAGTCTCTTAACTTACTTTACTTGAACCAATCTGTATATGGGGAAGGTCTGCAATTCATAAGGTTTGTTAGTAGGGATAGTTAAAAATGAGCAATATGCAGTATTAATCCATATCACATTTTTTTATCATAAGTTACGTTTATTACAAAACTATAATTAAAACATTATGCTTACTACACATTCAAGTACACCACAGGGACATTTATGTGTTTGATGGTTTCGCATCCGCTTGATTGTGCTAACTTTATTTTTGTAATGAGCAAGCAACGCATACCTCATCTTCCCAACATTCATGGTAAAGCAGTAATAACATAAAGTTCTCCAAAGAAATTAACTGGAAATGGCATTAAATACTGGTTTAATTAGGAATAATTGCTATAATGAAACAAATACATTATATATTATTTTTCCAATGAGCTTTGGTTTGAGTAACTCTACAGCAGAAATAGATGTTCTTAAGATCTGAATCATGGCAAAATTGGTAGTTCCTTGAAATCTGGGATACACGTTAGCAAAACCACAAATACAGTCTCACCAAAATCCTAGAGAAAATCATTTTATTAGTTTGGGACAAAATAAGACTGAACACTGGCTAGGATATGATTTGTTGGAGTCTAAATCCACCTAGGAAGTTGAGCCAAGAAATGAAGAGAACCAGTGGTATTGGTGGCAGGTAAGAAATAAACTTTGCATTGGGCTAACAGCATATTTTATTAAATGTATTTTAATAAAAAAGTGAAATGCTTCGTTGTGTTTTCCCAGAAACTAAAGATTACAGAGCTCTACACAATTTAGAGACACAAAGTGGATGTTGAATGACTAGAAGTCACCCTAGGTGTGGAATTTTAGAACGTTGTTTACCGGGATACATGGTACCAAGGCTCTGGCAGCAGATACAAAGGAATGATGCTCTGGAGAGAAGGTAGGGGCCACTCTGTGATTGGCCGGTGGATAGATGAAGGTCTCAGCTTGAAGAGGAGTCTTTAATTTGATGAATTCTACGATTTATCTTCTGGTGCTAATGCCTCTGCTTTCATAAATGTTATATCAGTAACTTGAAGTCCTCTCTCAATGGGATCTGTCAGGAGGAGGCCTTGGGGAGCATGTATCTTCTCATTCTCCTGTTAAATATATTTGGAGGCTTTCTTCAGAACCTTCTTATATTGAGTTTCCATGCATAAGATGGTATGTGCTGTAGAACAAGCCAAAAAGCCTTCAACGTATGATTGGCCCCCAAGTATCTCTACTTCTGCAGAAAGGTTATTTAGAGTTCAGGCTCCCTCTACTGTCTGTCAGACTGGTTCTCCAGGTTCGCAGGAATTTGATCTAGAACTGGTAGCATGTGCCACTGCTGTACTATTGTTGAGTGAAAACCTTCCCCAACATCGGCACCTGCTTCAGCCTCATGGCGTGGACGGGACAGGTCTCACCATGCTGTCATGGCGGGCCTTTTGCCCAGGCCTAATTCACTCCCCACCCACCCAGCTCTGTTTGGCCTGGGAAGCATAAACCCACCTCGTCTGTCCTCTAGCTACTGTTGTGCCCAGATTTCCTTAGTTTTTATCTAATGTTTTTATATTTTTTCTGTTCCAAGAGTCCATTCAGGATGCCATAGTACATTTAGTCATCATGTTTTCTTAGATTCCTCTGGGCTCTGATGATTTGTTTTTAATGACACTAAGAGTTTTGAGGAGTACTGGTCAGGTATTTAGTAGAATGTCCCTCAATTGGGATTTTTCTGACATTTTTCTAATGATTAGACTGGAGTTATAGGTTTTGGGGAGGAAGACCCCATAGGTAAAATGCCATTCTTATCATATGTCAAAGGTACATACTATTAACATGACTTATCACTGTTGATGTTAACCTTGATCATCTCACTGAGACAGAGTTTGTCAGGTTTCTCCTCTGTAAAGTTACTCCTTTTCCCCCTTTCCATACTGTGCTCTTAGGAAGGTAGTCACTATGTACAGCCCACACTAAAAAATGAGGAGTTATATTCCACCTCCTTGAGAGTGAAAATCTAGATAAATTATTTGGAATTCTTGTACACAGGAGATTTCTTCTCTCCCATTCATTCATTCATCTAGTCATTCATTCAGTCATTTATTTATACCAACGTGGACTCAAGGATGTTTCTTTTATACTTTGGGTTATAATCCAATACTACTTTATTTTTTTGTTGCTCAGATTGTTCCAGTTTTGGCCATTGGGAGTTCTTCCAGTGAACTCCTGCGTCCCTTTGACATACTTTCCATCATTGTGGGGTTTTTTTTTTTAAAAGCACAATAAGTCTTTTTTATCTAGAAAAATATTCACTTTAAAAATAGAAAGTTTATTTAAGTTTCACATACAGACAGTGCTTCTGCTTTTACACCCTTGCTAACAATTAAAAAAAAAAAAAACCATTTGCCATCAAGTCAGTTCTGACTCATAGCAACCCTATAGGACAGAGTAGAACTGCCTCATAGGGTTTCCAGGGAGCAGCTGGTGGATTCGAACTGCTGACCTGCACCACCAGGGCTCCCTTGCTAACAATAAGAACCCATGATAACAAATTTCAGCTACTATATTTATATCCTACTCTCAACATTCTTCATTCAAGTACTTTCAGAGACATTTGTGAACATTGACTTGGAAGTGAACATTGTTAAGACAGAAGACCCTAGAAGATCCTACTTGAAGGTCTTGAACAGTGAAAGAATGTCCACGCTTGTTACAGGGAAATTTACCAGGAAATGGAATTCTTAGGCCAAATAGTAGAGGTGTATTTTTAAGAAGACTGAAGAAAAATTTCTACAAAGAAACGTTTATATCTTTTTTTTTAAACAGCTAATAATAAACGTCTTTGAAGCAAATGTTTGTTTTACCTTTGATTAGTTTAAATATGTTTTGTGATATAAGGCATACTTCCTGAAATCAGACTCTTAATATGTAATAGTGTGCCTATAAGGGTTTGATTTACTAGGAGACAGTGATGTCACAGATTGGGGTAGTGTATTAGTTTCTTTGGGCTGCTGTAGCAAATTGTCACAAAGTGGGTGGCTTAAATCAACAGAAATTTAGTCTGTCACAGTTTTGGAGACTAGAAGTCCAAAATCAAGGTGTTTACAGGGTCATGCTCTCCCTCTGAAGGCTCTAGGAGGAGGATCCTTCCTTGCCGCCTCCTAGCTTCTGATAATTGCTGGGAGTCCTTGGCATTCCTGAGGCTGGCATTGCTCCAGTTTCTGCCTCCATCTTCACATGGCCGTCCTCCCTCAGTGTTTCCCAAGTGTTCCCACTTGGTTGTCTTCTGTGTGTGTCTGTGTCTGTGTGTCCTCTCCCCTTCTTACAAAGACACCAGTTATATCAGATTTAGAGCCTACCCTAATCTGGTGTGATGTTAAGTAATTACATCTGCAAATACCCTATTTCCAAACAAGGTCACAATCTGTGGTTCTGGGTGGACATAAATTTTGGGGGATGCTATTCTGTCCAGTATAGATGGGCTTACTGGTGTTAATATATCCAAAGAAATATAATTTAATTATTAGCATTTTTTGAAAGTTCTAACAGTTTTCTACATAGAGGAAGCATCCTTTAAGTCAGATAAATATATAACACTTTTATATGATTAGATTTTTTTTTAACTCTCCAGTACATACTATTAATAGTTTCTTTCCATTTTTTTCTGTACTGTTTTTTTAAGTTATAAAAATAACGTTCCCTAATAGCCAAAGAATATAAAGGTACTATTGTCCTTTCCATCCTGTTCCACTCTACTACTAGTTAAAAACTGAGTATCTTTGTAGACATTTTTCAGTGTAGTCACATAAATATAATTCACATATGTTCATATGTTCATACTTAAGTAGTGGGATCATATAGTATATATTGTCTGTGACATGCAATTTTTTTTTAACCTAATATATCCTGTACATCATCCTGTGACAGTATATTCAGAGCTACTTCACTCTTTTTAAATATAACATTCCATAGTATGGTTGTTGTTAAGTGCCGTTGAGTCGATTCCGACTCAGCAATATACTATAATTAACCAGTCGTCTATTAGTGACATTTAGGTTGTTTTCAGTATTTTGGCTTACAAATAGTGTCAGATACCCTTATATCTGTATCTTTGTGTGAATGTGGCAGTTTGGTTAGGATTAATTTCCAGAACTGGAATTTTTGATTCAAAGAATATGCTCATGTAAATTATTGATCTTGCTAAACTGACCTCCAAAAATCTTTACTGATGAACACGCCATTTTGCAAGGTGAAATGATATCTCCTTGTTGCTTTAAATGTTTATGTTCTTTATTACTGGGAAGGTTTTGATAATTTCTTTTTCGTAGACATTATGCTTTGTTTTGTGGGATTTATCTTTTATGGCCTCTGCCTACCTTTTCTATTAAATTTTTAAAATTGTTGACTCTCTTTATATTTTTTGGATATTCTTTGTCCAACAGGTGAAACCCTTCCTCACATCCTACTCAAAAATACCTTTCAGATGGATTATAGATCTAAATGTAAAAAGCAAAACTAAAAAAAGGTAGAAGAAAATATGGTAGAATATTTTTATAATCTCAGGATAAAGAAGCCTTTCTAAGCAAAATACAAAACACTGACAGATTTCACTACAAAAACAAAATAACTTTGTGGTAGAAAATGTCATTAAAATGCACACAACAGACTGGGAGAAAATCTTTGCAACATAGCACTTTTGTGGTTTGGGGACATCATTTATCACAGGGATGAGTCACAATTTCTTGTCTACTTATTTGTAAGTGAAGAATCTGAGAACTTTTGCTACATGGAAAGGTTCAGTAAGATGATCTCAGATAGTCCTTCTAAGCCTAATGCAGTGATTCTGTGAGCTTTTAAAAAGGTAAATATTAAATCCAAATGCTTTTTTCAGGGTTGGATTTTTTTTTTTTTTTTTTTACCCTAATGCAAATAGCTTTTTCTGGTAAGTTACTCAAGTTTCCACCACTAATGAGTAAATAACAGTGACTGCTTTCATGTGTGTTGTTAATGCATTCCAATATGCATTATATAATTTTGTATAAAAAAGAACCATTCA